ATATACCCTTTGGTTGGTTGATGATGCATGGAGGGGATTATAACCATGGCAATGAAATGATATACGATAGGATGAATGTAAAACTAATGTTCTCTCATGTAAACTATCACATAATTCACAATAAAACACTAAAAAAAGCAAAAAAAGAAAGGTGTGCAACAGGGTTGTATTCTCTCACCATGCTTATTCAAGCTGTATGCTGAGCCAATAATCCGAGAAGCTGGGTTATATGAAGAAAAACATGGCATTAGGTTGAAGGGAGGACTCATTAACAACCTGCAAAATGCAGATACAACCTTGGTTGCTGAAAGTGAAGAGGACTTAAAATACTGATTGAGGAAGATCAAAGAGCACAACCTTTGGTATGGATTGCACCTCAACGTATCAATGTAAAGAGAGAAGAGAGTAAAGAGTAGTAAGGAAAGATCAAAAGGGGGAGAGGGGGAGAAGAAGGAAAATCAAAAACAAGAAAAAACACAAAAAGCAGACATATCTTTATATATATAAAATTCAAGGGAATGGAACGATAAGGAGAAAGCATAAATAAACAAAAACACTGAAAGAACAAAAGGGAAAAAATAAAACCCCAAAACAAAAAAAACAGTGCAGCTGTTGGACCCAGAGAAGAAAAAACTATAGGGGCTCCTGCAAGCCAAGGAGCTCATGAGGTGGTGGATGTGACAGTAGAGTTCCTGGCCTAGATGGAGTTCCTACTGGCCTTTCTGCTATCATATTCAGGACACTCAATCCGGAAGCAGTTTGTGGAAGCCCTTGATGGAGCTGGTTTCAGTGTCTGTTAGGAACAAGAACAGCTGGGGGCAGGATGACTGCTAAATGCTGATCTGGTGGTTCTGTGGGTTCTGTAGGTCTAGATCTGAGCCCGCCTGAATCCAGACACCAAAGCAGTGCAGCAGTTCCCAACTTCATGCTGGCATGGCTCCTAACCCTAACTCCCAGAAAGCTGGGTCTGCACTGAGGATGGATGAGGGTGGGAGCTAGCCACACCTTTGGTCACAAGGACAGCATGGGCCAAAAGGTAATTACACCTTTCCTGTGGCCTGTGTGAATCCATTCTGCCAGGCCTCTTTCTGTTGCTAAAGCTGCTCACAAGATGGCTGCTCTGAAACTGGCTGGCCTTTTACAAGTCAGTCTCCCTCTCTTGCCATCCCTGCTTAGCTTCTCGGGCACACACTCAATCCACTTCTCTAACTTTCCTCTGAAGTTCAATTTTCATCTGTGCATTTCATTTGGTCACTTGTATGTTTGTTGTAGAGGGTCCATGTAGTGTGGCCTGCCTAGCCTGCCATCTTGCTGGAAGTCTTTAGGGGCCCTTTGCAATGAAGTAAATACTCAGTGTGTGGAACAAGAGGGAAGTGAAAAGAATGACATTGGGCATGCTCTATCTCTCAGATTCATGGGGTCTCATCCCTACATCTATGTCATTTTTAAGCTAATGAGCTGAGGTCTAGTGGAATCCTTAGTCACAGGCCCTGGGGCTTTACTCTTATTAAGACAGCTGACTCAGATGGCTCAGTGTTTGACGTATGGGTCAGGTCACAACTCTCTTCAATCCTGTCAAGATTAAGGTTTAGCTGGCCTTCTGACAGCTAGACTGACTTGAACAAAAGTGACTCAGCTAAGATTCAACTTCTCTTTTTCCAAAGACTGTGTTTTCTCCCTGGAGCCTACAACAGAAACCATTTCCTTCCCAGATGCCTTAGGCATTACGTTTCTTATCATCATTGGTCAATTCCAATCCTCTTCTCCATTTCTTTAAAAAAAAAAGGCACATGGAGTAGCAAATCCCCACTGAGCCTGCCTCCAAGTTCTCTTTTGCCCTGTTTAAGAGATGCCTAGTCTTGGAAACTGATTAAGAGAGCTCAAAGGGAGAGGGGTCAGCAACTCTCACCTTGAGCACTCAGCTGTAATGAAGAACAAGTCACCTAAAGAGAAAGGTACCAATCAGAGGGATATGACAATTATTGTCATTAGGTGCCATCGAGTTGGTACTGATTCAAAGCGACACTATGCACAACAGACAATAGGTACCTCTTATGTAAACTCTTTTCCATGCCCTGCACTGAACCCAAACCATATGGGATAAGTCAATTTGATCAGTTCACAGGACTGAGAAGGCAATGAGGAGGTAACTGTAACAGCCTCTTACTCTAGACTCAGAGGGTTCCGCTGGGAGGGAGACACTCTGAAAAAGAAAGGCTAACATTAGACAGGGAATAATCTAAGAATAAGGAGCTCTGGTAACATAGTGGTTACAAACTGGGCTGCAAACCTTAAGGTCAGCAGTTTGAAACTACCAGATGCTCCGCGGGAGAAAGATGAGGCTTTCTGCTCCTGTAAAGATTTACAGCCTCGGAAACCCTGTACAGGGTCGCTATGGGTCGGAACTGACTCAACGGCACTTAACAACAACAATCTAAGAATGGAGCCCTGGTGTGGTGCTGTGGGCTAATGCGTCAGACTGCAAAGTCATTTGAACTGGAAGGTCAGTGGTTCAAGCTCACCAGGTGCTCCTTGGAAATAGGTCGGAATCGACTCAATGGCACTTAACAACATTCTAGAATGAACATTCAAGTTGGGCAGTAAATCCTGCCTTTGAGGCACTGACATTTATTGAAAAACAACACGCAAATTTAAACAGCCTTTATACACATTTTCCTCATTACAAGATTATAAATATACAAACAAGAGTTTTGTCCAAGCTAGAATCTTGAGTATTGGAAAAAACTGTAGAAAACCCAGACCCTGATTTCATCAGTTAAACAGGTATTCCCCATTTCCAAGTAAAAAATTGGCACACTGCCATCCAACTTCCCAAGTTGAGCTCTTGATACTGAAACCCTAGCATTACACAGAATGGTTTTCCAGAGCAGAGTCAATACTCAGTTCTGAGGGAGGAAAAAAAAAAAATCTCTTTAAAATTTTGAGAGCACCATGGTAGTTCAAGAAAATGAGGAATGATGACAGCTCTCTTTAATTTTAAACTCCACGGTGGTCTGAAGTAATGATATTAAAGTGCCCTCCGACTGGCCAGGGCAATGAACTCACGCCAGGAGAATGCCATGAATAATGGTTATATTTCTTCTTGTCAAGCTGGAAGGGATGGTCCATGAGAAAGTGTTTCAAATTGAGAGTTTAGTCCCAGGGGAGATCTCTGCCCCAAGGAATATTTTAAGGGACACGACTAGGTGTAAGCTTTTATCTTCATCCTCATACTTATGAAAATCAGAGCCAAAGTCTTACTGACTTGAGCCCAGTTTGAGTTCTTCTTATAAAGGCAGCAAAGGTTAAGTGAAAATTTGAGACTACCTTTGGAAAAGGCATACAAGAAAATGGAAGAGGGATTAACAGTCCTGCTGACTGACTTCTAGGTCCTCTAAGAAGTCTCACTGTCATGGATTTCTGGCCACTGTGGTGCTGATCTTAAAGATGTGAAGGAGTCATTCCAGTACTGACTTTCACTATTTTCTGTAATGCCGCACTCTTTCTTTCTTCTTTTTCAATAACCCCTATCACAAAGAGGTATCGACCCAGGAAGCTAGAATAAAATGTCAAGTGTTCAATGGAAGAAGTGAAACCTCAAGATTTGAATGAATCCATGTTGTAAACACTACACTAGTGGCCAACGCTGGGACTAATACCAGGAAAGATATCCAGGCCCATGCAGTGGAAAGAACTGGAATTTCTGTCCGTAATTCTTAATGCATTGATTAGGAAGCAAGAAGGGATCGATCATCAGTGTAAGCATCAATTCTAACCTCCAGTGCCAAGAGCTTCTCAAAGCAGTTTCAACACGGCTGCTGGTATTAGTCCTTGATGGTGTTAGCCTTCCAAGTATCTGAAAATGCTTCGTTTCAATCCTGAAGTGCTATCATCTGTTTTGAGGTGCTTTGGTGAAGGAGATGTGATTAAAGATGGACCCCGTCGCTTCACCTAGAGAACAGAGAGGGAGTCAAGGCCAGCTCAAGATCAACAGCCTACAAGTACTTGTCTTCAGTTGGCTCTTAAATAACCCATAGTTACATCATGAACAATTCACAAGTTTAAAAGTTGATTACCTGCTGGGGAGCATGGATGCTCTGTAATATAAGCACTGGACTTCAAACTACAAGGTTTGAGCCCACCAGCCACTCTGTGGGAGAAAGATGAGGCTTTCTGCTCCTGCAGATTTAGTACTGAAACAACTATACAAGGTTGCTATGAGTTGGAACTGACCTGACAGCACACACCAATATCCTAACAACCTACTAGCTGCAGCAGTGCCTTTTTAACTTTCTGGGGAATGCAGGATTTCAGCACTGTGGCATGTGACTTGAAGCCAGAAATTTTATTTTTTTAACTTATAAAATTATGTTTTGGGAGGCCAACAAATCACTTCGCAAATTCCCCACCTGAGGTTTAGAAGAGTCCTTTGCCGCCTCAGACTTGACAGGAGAGAGTGTATGGAAGACAAAGTTTCTGGAATTTCGGGGAGCCGTGGGGTTGAGGTCAGACAGAGCAGCCAATTTTTGAAGCACAGCTTTGGGTTGATTGAGTAAAGAGCCAGTCTTTAACTGAGGAAGAAAGAATCATTTGGTATCAAACCCCCAAACACTAAATAATGAAAAGCCAGTCTTTATACACCTTTGCTTGCTTCCCCTTAAGAATTCTGAGGACAGATCCCTATCCTCCTTTTAGATCTGCTTGCATTTCCTGCAGCCACATGCCTCCCCTAATAACAGACAGACATCAGGCTAACAAGGTCTCCAACCAACCTGGTGGGCACTTCCTGGTTTGATGGCTTCAAAAGGGCTTCTCAGTACAGATTTTGATTCTTGAACAACCACATTCCGATTAGCTGTAGAGTAAAAAGTCAGAGAGTAAATGACGTTTTAAAAAGTTAGTATTATTTTAAATAATTTGTTTTATTTTTGTTGAGATTGTAACAGAACATACACTAATCCAATAAATTCTAATGTACAACTAACTAACTCAGTGATAACTAATTACATTTGAGTTGTGCAGCCATTCTTATCTTCCTTGTCTGAGTTTTTCCTCCCTTGTTACCATAAATTCACTGCCTCCTAAGTTTCCTATCTTCAAGTTGTTAGTCAACTAATGTCATATAGACAACTCAAGGCAGGCATTCTTTTCTATCTAAGTAAAACTGCCTACAGTCATACTACCTTTGGACTTGCCTGATCTCCTTTAATTAATTTGCTAAGTTTTAAGAATACTTCAGGGGATATTTTTGGTTTCAGCTTTAAAGATGATCTCAGAGCAATAGTTTCAGGGAGTCATCCAGCCTCCACAGATGGAGAAAATCTGGAGTCCATAGAATGTGAAATTGTCTTCTTCTGCATTTATCTCCTTTTCATCAGGATTCTTCAATAGAATCTTTGATCAAGATGCTGAATAATGGTAGCTGGGCACCATCCAAGTATTCCTTTTAAATCTACACAAGCTAAGAAATTTTCTAACCAATAAGCTAAAGAACTTATTGGTTAGATAAGTTAGAACTCTGATTATTTGACAATGGTGACCTTCAAACTATATGTGGCTCCAAGAAGACAGACAACTAAGTTGAAATGTTCAACTTAGTATTAACAGTGAAAATTTAAAAGTAGAAGTGGTAGGAATGTAGAGTAGTGTTTAAGAGATTCCTCTCTTGAGTTAGATAAATCACCCCCAAATCTCCATCACTAACAATCTAGAGGTTAAACCCTAAGTAGGACCAGGAGTGCAGTACCACTCTTCTGAAGTGCTCTGGCTGTAACTTTCTTGGCCAGCATCATAAACTGACTGTCTTCTCCAATTTCTTCTTCTTCTTCAGCTGCAATTTTCCCCTGCTGTGCCTGAAAATAAAAATCATATGGTATTAACAGAAGAGTCTACAGCTACTCCAAATAGTTAGCATAGCCTGGGTTATAAAGCTAGGGTACCTGACATATCATGTTTTCCTTTTTTGTAACCATTTGCTACTTTAGGGGAACAACAACAAAAAAGACTTTGGGCAAACAAACGTGAAATGAACTCTTTGTAACCTCCTCTCAAAGCATATATGAAAACTCCAGGGTTAAAAGGGACATCAGAGAACAAACAAGATGGCGGATCAGGTGGAAGTGCAATAAAGGAGCTCTGCCAGCAACAACACAGAATACCCAACCAAGCAGACTCAGAGGATGGTCCCAGAACTCTGAACCACATATGAAGGAATATTTAGAAGGTTGGAAGGCCTACAGCTGGGGGAATTTGTGGCAGAA